TGTTTCACAACAGTGAACCCAATTTATCTTCTCCAGCTCTGCAGGCGCAAACTTTTTGTAGAGTTAATGCATCTGATAAAATAAAAGGTCAGGATGACACTGCGGCAAAAAGTTTTTACTGTTTTCTCCTCGTAATGAGCAAATTCCCTGAGTGTAATGCTGCTTATCTTCAAGTCTAAATATCTTTTGGCTTCTTTTGGGACACATTCTGGGCATTTTCCTTTTCAATGTGCAGTTCAAGGAGAGCTTAACACTTATTAAAAAGCCTGCTTTGGCTCCCTGACTAACTAGTCTGTACAGCAGCAAACAAACACATAATCCCTTGCCATCTCTGCGGGTACAGCCGAGTGCTTTTCCTCAGTGTCACCCAGATGGCTATGCAGTAAATAAACAATAACAGTTGCAAGAAAATCACACGAGTCCATTAGAAAGCACATATGAGCATTGCATAGGCCAGAGAAGAGGAAACTATTTACAAATACTAATTAATACCCGTGCATTCGTTGTGCATGAACGGCTCTATGGCAATACCAATTCACCAGCTGCAGTCATGTGAAAAAGAACGTTTTCACAGGCTGTGAAAGTTTTACAACATCCCGATAACTTGAAGTTAGCATTTTCTGTGTGACTTTTTCAGTCTCATGTGGAGGAATTTTGGCCCAATCTTCTTCACAATGTTGCTTTAGTTCATTGAGGTTTGCAGGCATTTGTTTATGCAGAGCTCTGTTGCAGCATTACAGTCGGTTTAAACACGTGAGTCTTTCCTTTTTCTGTCATTCTGTTTTGGATTTGCTGCTGCGCTTGTGATCATTGTCATATAGCATGACTTAGTTTGGGTCAAACTCTACCTGCCTTCACTCTTGTATACCTCTTTTTGGTATACAAGAGTAATCTGCGGTCGATTCAGTTACTGAAAGTCTTGTGGTTGCAAAAGAGGCCTCCTCCACCACTCTGACAGTTGGTTTGAGGGGTTTGTGCTGGTATGCTGTATTTGGTTTTCACCAATTGCGACGCTGTGCATAATGACCAGACATCAACGTTTTGGTCTCATAGAAGTCTTGTGTTTTATTCACATGCAGCTCTGTATCCTTTTTACAGAGAGGAGGCTTTCTCCTGGAACGTCCTCTAAGACTTTTTTTTAATTGTCCTGTCATCAGCTTTAACATTTAGCATCCTTGTTGTTTATCCATCCATCCATCCATTCGCTTCCGCTTATCCTTTTCAGGGTCGCGGGGGGCGCTGGAGCCTATTCCAGCTGTCATAGGGCGAGAGGCGGGGTACACCCTGGACAGGTCGCCAGTCTGTCGCAGGGCCAACACACAGGGACAGACAACCATTCGCGCTCACATTCAATCGCACATTCACACCTAATGGCAATTTGGATTAATCAATTAACCTATCCCCACAAGCTGCATGTCTTTGGACGGTGGGAGGAAGCCGGAGTACCCGGAGGGAACCCACGCAAACACGGGGAGAACATGCAAACTCCACACAGAAAGACCCCGGCCTGATGTTGGAATTGAACTCAGGACCTTCTTGCTGTGCGGCAACAGTGCTAACCACCGTGCCACCGTGCTGCCTTGTTGTTTATTTGTTGTTTATTTTCAGATTGTTTTGGGGGGTTTTTTGCAATTTCTTTGAGCATTGCACACCACACATCTGACCTTGGGATGAACAGCCACTGGGAAGACTGTAGCATTGTGTTAACACACAATTGACTGATCCAGAACAGTTAGGCAGTTGTGGACTCTGTAAGGAATGATTTAAATACACTACTCACACATGTAGCTAGGTTAAAACTTGGAAAAATAGTCCTGCAAACTAGATACACGAAACAAATGCTATTGAGCGGATTCTTAAAAATTGTGAACTGTATCACTGCCAGAGCAGAACAATGCTGCATGAACTTTATTCAAAGAACTGAAGGCTGCATTTGCATTTTATTGATTAGGCAAGCTTTACTGACTGAATCGCTTTTAATTCAAAGATACTGGATGCCGCCCCTCCAAAATACACACTTGGCAAACTATCAAGTCTACTTTGTCATGTTTAATTTAAAAGGTCGGTAAGTCTGAATGAGAAATTAAAGTGTTTTAAAGTGTTCTTGTGTAAATAAAGTTGTACCCATGAAGTCGGGTAGTGACGATGGGATCTGTGGAGCGTTGCCTTTACAGATGCATTGGTTCAAAGAAGAGAAGACCATCCCAACTCTGTCTGCTGCTGCTGCCATCATGTGGGCTGGTTTCTGCACAGGCTGCAAATATTGCACAGTAGATTTGTATTTTTTAGCAGATCTGAAGCCTGCTTGCTTTCTTTAAGTGCTTCTCTTTTGTCCCCATTAAGAGTAAGGGACCCCAGCTGATGTTAGCAAGTGACCAAGCACATAAGATCATTGAGAAAAGGAGCTGAGGGACGTTTTCCCAGTGTCTTCGGCCAGGTGGCTATCGAAAAGAACATCTTCTTTTTACACTGTCTGTGCACTCACCTTTTTACCTATACTAGTATTAGCAAGTGAAGTGTAGTAATCTGCAACAATTGTATTTTTGTGCCTGTGCAAACTTCACTGCGGATTACATAACATGTTTTGCCAGAGGACCAGTGAGAGTCGGCGTCTGCGATTTGAGCTCTTTTCTTTCCAAGTTTTTTTGTTTTTTTGCTGCCTCTCTTTCTGCTTGAGAATTTGAGTAGAGGAGTTTGCGTCAGCAAAGCTTGGAGCAGCACTTGTGTGCGATTTCATGACTCACGTTGCCACACAGCATGATGAACAGTTTATACAGAAAATGCAGGCTGAAATCCATCAGAAGCAAAATCCCAAAGGATGATCAGATGGATGGGATCAATGGCAGCGTGAGCTGAGCGACATTTTTCCTAATGAATATTTGTAATCAAGTCCGCGGATGATGGTGGAAAATTTGAGTGAAATACAAACTTTGCTTATGCCGTACAAATTCATCACACTGTACAGTGACATGATGGGATCATTTCCAAATCACATTAAGTCCCCCGGTAATACTAATCCTGGATGGATTGAGCTAAAGACTATATTACATTGTCATCTGTGTCAGTTGTGAATCGTGACACAGAGCTAAACCCGAGAGATCTGCCCGTCTCTCTCCCGACAGCTGTTTTCCCAATACTGCCATGAAAAATGGCCGCTGACCTCCACCAACAAAAGCAATGTTTTGTTTTGGCTCTTGCACGACAAGAGTTGCAGTCCATCAAAGTTATTATAACAACTACTTGAAATTTTCCATAATTGCCCGGCTTTCAGCCTCACAGCAGAGGACTGGCTGTGTTTGCACTGACTTACGCAATCCTTCTTCCTCTGCATCATGATTGATGACTCTTTGTTCGAGGTGATTATTCCTCTACTTTTATCTCATCCCATTTATAGCCGGAGCAAAGTCTGAATAAATGACTCTGTCCCTGACACATGCTTTATTTACTGGAGCGGGAAACAATATTTTCATAGTCATAACATCAATTCAAACAACTCTGTAAACATATATATTAGTGATCGGCGGTCTCCCTTTTAAGTAAGTGTAATCTGTTTGATTACATGTCCCCGTCCTTTCTCCAAGGACACTCCACTGTCCTCTGAAAAACTGTTTGTTGATTTGCAGCACTTTGTGGAAGACAAACCATTTAGAAAAATGTTGTATTCTGAAAAACCTTAAAGAAATCCCATAAAAAGGCCATAATATTTACTGCTTTGTCTGAGGTGCTCAACTACAACAACACACTGTACGAACTGGAAAGGCAAGCAGCTGTGACTGGGAGTTGGCTCAAATCACTTTGCTATTAAAAAAAAAGGCTATGCGTAGTACACATAGACAAATGTAGCCACAGTTATAAAAGTGCAAAAATGTCTGTCTTAGACTGCAGAGGCAAACATGGAGACGAACAGGAGGGATGCACAGCTGACTGTGAGCGCATGATATCCTCAGCACATTTCCACTCCATTTATTTTGTAATTTTGTGCAGGATCATGCTTTAAACTATC